AAACACACTTAGTACATATTTTGGTATTTTTTGCTTTTTGGGGCACTAATTTTTTTAGTGTATGGAGAAGACCAGACTGATTCTTATCTATTGCTTCAAGGATTCAGAGGAAAATAATGTATAGATTTATGTTATATTGGGATTGGTTTTTTGTTTTCAGATGATATAAAATGTGAAGAAGGGTTGATATATACTGGTGCAGTATGTGGGATATTGGCGCTTGTGTTTAGTACAGTAACAATGATTCTGTTCTGCTGCTCCAGGTGAGATATTACACATGGTTTATTAGCTCTAACCTGTCCTCATCAGTTTCATAATTTCTAATTCCGTATTAAATATAGGCTTGGTCCTACCAAACTTCAGTGTGAAAGCCGACAAAATAAAAAGATTTTATAGCCATGGTAATGTCACATAATATAAACTAGCTTTCTGATTTTAAAATCATCCAAAATTGAAACCCACAAAATGCAAGTTTCTCTATCCTCAGGGGACATGCAAATATGGTTTTGTAGAGAACAAAGTTCACTGTGGGATTGCTTATTTATGCTCAAGATGGAGCTATTATCAAAATTCAAAATATTCACGAATCTCTTAATTATCTCATTGTTAACATTTTGGGATGCAGGACAAAGCTTTTGGTGGAATAAATATAGAGTCCACAACCTTGATATACCATATTTTTACGCCATTTGAGAACGGAGGGCGGCCATTTTGTCTGTCAGTTTTGGGACGATTTTCACGAAATTCAAACTCAGCCGTCCTTAGGGTGTAACGGTGATATAATATGTATTTTTAAATCGGATAAAAATTATGACCTCTATAGGGTCCACAAGCTAAAAACACTATTTTTCGTACAATCAGGGGCCATAATTTAGGAAGTTACGGTCCGATATGCGCGAATATCAAAAGAAACCAAGATCTTTGGGTTATAAACTTACAATTCAAGTTTCAACAAATTCTGATAAAACTTGTGACCTCTATAGGGTCCACAACCTTGATATACCATATTTTTACGCTATTTGAGAACGAAGGGCGGCTAATTTATCTGTCAGTTTTGGGCCGATTTTCACGTAATTCGAACTCAGCCGTCCTTAGGGTGTAACGGTGTTATAATAATATACGATTTTTTAAATTGGATAAAAATTATGACCTCTATAGGGTCCACAAGCTAAAAACGTGATTTTTCGTACTATCAGGGGCCATAATTCAGGAAGTTACGGTCCGATATACGCGAATATCGAAAGGAACCGAGATCTTTGGGTTATAAACTTAATTTCTAGCTTCAACAAAATCAGATAAAAATTGTGATTTTTCGTACAATCAGGGGCCATAATCCATGAAGTTACAGTCCGATACATGCCAATATCAAAAGGAACCGAGATCTTAGGGTGATAAACCTATATTTCATGTTTCATTGAAATCAAATAAAAATTGTGACCTGTAGACTGTTCACAAACAATTGTGGACGGACAGGGGCGACGACAATATTTATTTCAATAATTCACTTTCATCTAAGTCATATGCCTCAATCTCACATTTTTATAGTCCCTTTCTTAAAGGCTCAATACCACTCTTGTTGTAACTGAATAATATGTCCCAATCTTTATTTTGGTCAACAAATTTTACTATTTTACAATATTCCAATTAATTGGTGATACAAATTTCATCTTAACACACCTAATTTAAAAAACTGGAAAAATTCAACTAAATGATTTGAAAAGCCTAACGTAAACCTTTTCAAATGTGACTTGGATTTAAAAATATTTTCGAACCCTCTGGACAAGTAAAATAGGGTGTAATGGATAATTTACACAATAGGTAGGACACTTAAACATCTATAACTTAGAATAAGGCTATTATTTATTTTCTGGAGCTGTCAAGCCAGCAAGAGTGTTATTGTCCCTTTAAAACATGTTATTTTATTATTTTTTTTTTAGGGAAATAAGAAAATTGAAAAGCAAGTTTTTAAACTGTTTTCTTATTGACAAAGTAGCCTGTTGTTTTAATACAAAACATGATGTAAATGATAGTCCTTTCTACCATCAAGTGGAAGCCCCTCAAACTGTATGCCAGCAACTGTCAATCAGTTCAGTACATGAAAATAAAGGGGATTCAAATAAACAAGCAGGTTCTTCTATTGACAATGCAAGTGTATCCGATATAATATATGTCAACCAGGATGTAATACCAGATTCAAAGAACAGGAGATTGAACATTACGAAATGGGTTGTACCAAATCAAGAACATTATGATATGGAGATACTTGAAAATGATCTTTATGAATCAACAGAATCTTTGCCTTCTATAAAACAAGAAATTAACACAAGTGAGAAATAAATATTAAATGTAATCTATCCTCAGTTGTATCAATTTTAATACCCATTTCTATTCTGTAATACAAGCAAATACAGTAGATTAGGAGATAAACACATCCTGTTTCGAAGGGGTGTTTTGTGGGCTGATTCCGACTGCTTAAAAACGATAAGAGTTATGGCCCATTATTTTCAGTGACAATGTTTGACAGGAAAAGTTTTGAAATTGCAGTAACTGCAATAGACATGTATCCTGAGTTCATTATAAGACCCAGTATATACTGTCAGACTACTTCAGTTTTTTGTCCCATCCGTAAAACACATTTCCAGTTTGTCAAAAATGACCCAATTTATATTTAATAATTATATCCACGACAGCCAACTACATCATTTTTGACAAACTGGAAATGTGTTTTACGGTAAAACACCTTTCCAGTTTGTCAAAAATGACCCAATTTATATTTAATAAATATATCCACAACAGCCAACTACATCAACGTTGGCAGAATGTTTGCACCATATACAGTTTTGGTTGCACAATCTGACTAATTCCCCCCCCCCACCCAAAAAAAAATAAGAACACTTACAGAAACAATACCTGTTTCGGACAATAACAACCTAACACTGCTAGTAGTCTTTTGTTATATATAATTGATCCGCGATTGCTGAGACCATTTTTCTTTTTTACCTTAAATTTCATTTCATTTTAGTTGTCTTTTATTTTGTTTAAACTTGACAATAAAACATTATTGAAAATTTGTATATATTTAGTAATACTTCATTGTTTTTCTTTTATCAAATTGAGAGAGACTGAATACTCGCCTGTTTTCGCACCCACCAAAGAACCGTAAGTTTGGAAATTGCATTTTGATGGACAGTTTGAGTTGAAATAATGGTGGATTTGGGTAGATTTGGGTAAATTGTGCTATTGCAGATTATCGTTAACAATTGTAAAAAGATAGGTTGCCAGGCAACGAAACATACGCCCACAGCAACTAAATCGTCCGGGCAGTCAACAAGGGTTGTCGCATATTTTTACTTTTTTCGGTAATGAAACATTTATAATACACTAAAATCTGATTAAGAGCAACAACTCACGAAGTAATTATCAGAAAACTATTAGAATTTGTTTGGTTTTTATAAAGTTCTGCCCCATGCTAACGTTTTGTATGCAAAGCTTTTAATATCATGGATTTAACTGTTCAAGTCATAAAAATTCATTGAAAATCAATATACTTGTTCGTCTCAAGATCTTAAACTCTGTGTATCAATCTGAAGTCAATCGGATGATAACTTAAGGGCCATAACTTTGGCAGTAATTATCGGAAATCGTTGAAAATCAATAGGAATCTTCGTCTCATGACCTCAAACACTGTGTATAAATTTAAACTCAATCGGATATTAACTTTAGCCTCTAGAGCATCCACAAGATTTTTTGAAGTGATCAAGGGCCATAACTCTAGCAGTAATTATCGGAAATCGCTGAAAATCAATAGGCTTCTTCGTCTCATGACCTTAAACACTGTCTATAAATTGAAAGTCGATCGGATATTAAATTTGGCCTCTAGAGCATCCACAAGATTTTTCAAAGTGATCAAGGGCCATAACTCTGGCAGCAAATATTGGAAATCGCTGAAAATCAATAGGATTCTTCGTCTCATGACCTTAAACACTGTGTATAAATTTAAAGTCAATCGAATATTAACTTTCGCTTCTAGAGCATCCACAAGATTTTTCAGAGTGATCAAGGGCCATAACTCTGGCAGTAATTATCAGAAATCGCTGAAAACCAATAGGCTTCATCATCTTATGACCTTAAACGCTGTGTATAAATTTAATGTCAATCGGATGTTAATTTTAGCCTCTAGAGCATCCACAAGATTTTTTGAAGTGATCAAGGGCCATAACTCTGGCAGTAATTATCGGAAATCGTTGAAAATCAATAGGTTTCTTCGTCTCATGGCCTTAAATATTGCGTATAAATTTAAAGTCAATCGGATATTAACTTTGGCCATTAGAGCATCCACAAGATTTTTTGAAGTGATCAAGGGCCATAACTCTGGCAGTAATTATCGGAAATCGTTGAAAATCAATAGGTTTCTTCGTCTCATGACCTTAAATATTGCGTATAAATTTAAAGTCAATCGGATATTAACTTTGGCCATTAGAGCGTCCACAAGATTTTTTGAAGTGATCAAGGGCCATAACTCTGGCAGTAATTATCGGAAATCGTTGAAAATCAATAGGCTTCTTCGCCTCATGACCTCAAACACTGTGTATAAATTTAAGGTCAATTGGATATTAACTTTGGCCTCTAGAGCGTCCACAAGATTTTTCAAAGTGATCAAGGGCCATAACTCTGGCAGTAATTATCGGAAATCGCTGAAAATCAATAGGCTTCTTCGTCTCACTGTGTATAAATTTAAAGTCAATCAGATATTAACTTTAGCCTCTAGAGCGTCCACAAGTGTGGACGCCGGACGGACGGGGGCGATGACAATATACGACCACATTTCAATGTGGGCGTATAAAAAAGGGCATGTCGTGTAAATATTTTCTTTTGTGTTTGGGTAGGTCATTTTCAAATAAATTCATCAGCACATTATTCCCTTAAAAAAAAAAAAAAAAAAAAATTTTTTACCTTTACTGAAACAGATGATCATCAAAGAACTGTAAATCCAACTAATGTTTTGTTTGTTAGTGCCTTTTAATGTATTCTTTCACGTTTCAAATAAATTCATCAGTTACTTTTTACTTTTTTTTATATCAGATATACAAAAATAGTACAGATATTTCGTAAACATTCAACATTAGACATACTGTCATTTCTTTAGAGGTCCATACACTGCGTGATCAATATGCTGTACTTGACAACAAACAGTAAATTTCACCTACACTTCCTTCCAACTCATCCCCGAGTCCAAAATGTTATCTACCCGAGTCCGAAATGTCACCTTCCTGAGCCTGAACAGTCAAGGGCATATTTTTTTGAGTCCGAAATGTCATCAGTCCGATATCTTGCAGGACCAAAATATCATGTAATCAATAATAAAGGGTTCTAAGCGAATTCCACAAAGAAATAACCATTTTTTTTTCACTGAAATATATCTGGGCTTTTACCAAAATCAGACACAAGAGGCATGATAAGCCATTTGAGACATTGGTTAGACTGATTAAACCAGCGCCTGTCAGGCAGGATACGCCCACATTTTCGAGAGATGGATAGAGAACAAGCTAAAAAGAAAGCGATTTTTTGTACAATCAGGAACTGAGATCTTTGTGTTATAATCTTACATTTCAAGTTTCAACAAAATCGGATCAAAATTGTGACCTCTTTAGGGTCCACAACCTTGATATACTATATTTTTACGCTATTTGAGAACGAACGGCAGCCATTTTGTCTGTCAATTTTGGGCCGATTTTCACGAAATTAGAACTCAGTCGTCCTTAGGGTGTAACGGTGATATAATTATATGGTTTTTTAAATCGGATAAAAATTATGACCTCTATAGGGTCCACAAGCTAAAAACGCGATTTTTCGAACAATCAGGGGCCATAATTCAGGAAGTTACGGTCCAATATGCGCGAAGATCGAAAGGAACCGAGATCTTTGGGTTATAAACTTACATTTCAAGTTTCAAAAAAATCAGATAAAAATTGTGACTTCTATAGGGTCCACAACCTTGATATACCATATTTTTACGCTATTTGAGAACGAACGGCGGCCATTTTGCTGTCAATTTTGGGCCGATTCCCACGAAATTCGAACTCAGCCGTCCTTAGGGTGTAATGGTAAATATAATAATATGGTTTTTTAAATCAGATAAAAATTATGACCTCTATAGGGTCCACAAGCTAAAAACGCGATTTTTCGTACAATCATGGGCCATAATTCAGGAAGTTACGGTCCGATATGCGCGAATATCGAAAGGAACTGAGATCTTTGGGTTATAAACTTACATTTCAAGTTTCAAAAAAATCGGATAAAAATTGTGACCTCTATAGGGTCCACAAGCTAAAAACGTGATTTTTCGTACAATCAGGGGCCATAATCCATGAAGTTTCGATCTGATACATGCCAATAACGAAAGCAGCAGAGATCTTTTGGGGATAAACCTATATTTCAAGTTTCGTCAAAATCGGATAAGAATTGTGACTTGTAGAGAGTCCACAAACAATTGTGGACGGATGTCCGGACGGACAGGGGCGACGGCATAATACGTCCACATGAAAATGTGGGCGTATAAAAATTGTGACCTCTATAGGGTCCACAACCTTGATATACCATATTTTTACGCTATTTGAGAATGAATGGCGGCCATTTTGTCTGTCAATTTTGGGCCAATTTTCACGAAATTCGAACTCAGCCATCCTTAGGGTGTAACGGTGATATAATAATACGTTTTTTTAAATCGGATAAAAATTATGACCTCAATAGGGTCCACAAGCTAAAAACGTGATTTTTCGTACAATCAAGGGCCATAATTCAGGAAGTTACGGTCTGATATGCGCGAATATGGAAAGGAACCGAGATCTTTGGGTTATCAACTTACATTTCAAGTTTCAACAAAATCGGATAAAAATTGTGACCTCTTTAGTGTCCACAAGCTAAAAACGTGATTTTTCGGACACACAGGGGGCATTATCCATGAAGTTTCGATCCGGTACATGCCAATATCGAAAGCAGCCGAGATCTTTTGGAGATAAACCTATATTTCAAGTTGCGTCAAAATTGGATAAAAATTGTGACCTGTAGAGTGTCCACAAACAAATTGTGGACGGACGGACGGACAGGGGCGACAACAATATACGTCCACATGAAAATGTGGGCGTATAAAAATTATCATTACTATATAAACATATATTTTTCCTATTTCAAATTTTGACTATGTACATGAAATAAGGGTGGATATACATAATTACAAAATTCTAATATGGAAATTTCAGTCAACAGACAGTACAGTGATAGCTTTACATTTTACATAATTTTAAATACACCACATACCACAGCACCATTATGATCATTTTAAATAAATTTGAGTTTCTAAAGTATTACTTTATCTTAAGAGTCATCAAAATTTAATCCTTCAAGTTCATCTTTGAGTTCTGTGTTAACTTGTGCTTCAATATCCGATGGTATAACTTCGAGACATAAGTCATATTGTTGATCTAAACCTAGATACGAATCACTCATTAGATACAAAGTATAAATAACTCTTCCAGGTTTCTCTGGTGTAGTTAGAGCTAATTTAATATTAGTCTGTCCACGATTATATCCTACACGTTTTAATGCTATCACTTCTTTCATTTCCACATCACCTACAACTATCATCCAACCTTCATCTTTCATTTTAGGAAATCGACTCATACAAACTTTACTATCCCCTCTCTGAAATATAGGATGTATTAGAAGTAGAAAATGTGAAAAAATACAGGTTAAGATAAATAAAGTGTAAAACTCAACATAACGTTTCCAGTAAATTTCTTTTGTCTGTAGTTTGAGAATTCTGATTTGTTTTGTGAGACAGGGTCCTTATATATATATACAGATCAATATTTCTGTCTTCAAATATTAAATACAAGAGAGTTATTGCCCTTATCATCTCTTATAACATTTTATCATTATCCAAGCTAATTTACGTAAGTTATTCCAGAGTAGTATGATACAATGTGTTAATTTTTTTACCTAATAAAGTGGTCTGAGCATTCTCAATACTGCCTCTTACATGATACACTATAAAAAGTCTTACCTTCGCCTTTTTAATCCTAGTCATATTTATCTGAAGAACATATTCTTGATCAGCATGTACCTGAACCCAATCATTATCACTACGTCTACCACCTACATAAAATATATATAATTAACATATTTAACCAAACACAATGCAGTTCTCGCATACTCTTATTTTTAAGATTTATAAAATAGATTGGGAATACTGAATTGAATGTTCTAGAATTGAATTCTCTCAACCCCACAAACATTGACAATTAGGTGAACAGGAGAATTTTGGGCCATAATTGTGCAAGCTGAATAAGAACTCATCTCCACCAATCATCATGCCTCAATCATCCCCACATCTCAATTCTACCTACACCATTCTAATGGTACTCTGATATCTGAACCATGTCATGCAACTCTGATCGACAATCAAGCATCCCTACTTAAAGTGAAGCTATCAAGCCTATGCAATGTTTATTTTATCTACATTCCATCAATGCCTTAGCATTTATGAATACAATTTTGTAAAAATATTCATTTTTGAAGAAGTGTTCAAAATGAAAATTATCACAAGGTAGCCAACTCTTGCCAGACATTTGCTAACAAGCAGCATTATCTCATCACTTACAGTGTTTACAAATAGTGTTAATCTGTGTAGACGTTATTGAGCAAATTATAGATTAGGGTCATGGATAACTCATGTATTCAAAGCTATAAATCACCAAATGCCACTTAAATGCAATTTAACACACTATCATAGATAATCAAATAATTTTCTTGCATTGTAATCAGGATAAGTCATCATCTGTGTCATCTAATATTTGTGTTGAATCTGCCATAAAATTCAGAAAAGTCTCACCTTTATGATGTATATTGAAAGGTTTATGTATTTCTGTTGATTGACCAGCCCACCAGCCTTTTACTGCTACTTCAACTCTGATGTGAGGTAGTTTACTTAATGTATCATAAACCTGTATTATAAGACAACAAGATTAATTAGTAAACAATGCATATACTGTGAAATGCCATCTTATCTGAAAGAACTGGTGGTACCTTACATGCCATCAAAAAATCTAAGATCAAGTACTAAGAACAACCTTGTCGTCCCAAAATATAAACTAAGCTCCTTTGGAGCTCGCTCATTTAGTGTTGTTGCTGCCAATATGTGGAACTCGCTACCTGAAAATCTTCGATCCAGTCCATCATTAGACTCCTTTAAATCCAGATTGAAAACATACTTATTTGAAAAATATTTGCAAGAGTGATTATGTGTTTTTTGTAGCGCTATGAGCACGACTATATGTGGAATTAGCGCGATATAAATGGACTTATTATTATTATTTATTACATGAATTAAATATGGAAAATTTTCCGAACGATGTACCTATTTGTCGTTATTTTTGTGCTAATTACATACAGTAGAATACAATATTCCTCATGACAAATTACCAAGAATTATTTTTGTTGAAGTCTGGTTATATTAAAGGGAATGGAAGCTTAAAATTTTAAAACCCAGTTCTACCGGGACCTCATTTGACCCAATTCTGGCCGGTTTGTTTCGAAATGAATTAAGAACCCTGTTGTGAATCCATCTTGAAAAGCTCAATTATTTTAATAATAACATTTCTACTTGAGTGCCCTCTGAGGTTAAAATGTATTGCAACCGGTTTTGGTCTATTGTGTTTAATATCTGCAAAATGTTCTTTAATTTCGTTTTAAAAAGGCACATTTACTCTCTCCTACGTATTGTTTGTCACATAGGGAGCAAGTTAATAAGTAAAGTATATTTCTGCCTAGGCAATTAAAACCATTTACAGCAAAAAATGTCTTACCCGTTTTCCCACTAATGGAGTAGTTTTTGGGAGCTACTGGAGATACTGCAGTTTCATCTAATACATTGTTCGAATAAATTAAGGATGGACATTTCACATGTTTGTGGGTCCCTTGGGGGGGTAAATTAGTCTCGTTCTTATAAGCGTATCTTGTAGATATAGGATTCCTTCTAAATAATGTGATTGTTTTTTTTCGAGATCATATGGCACATTTCCAAAGATGCCATTTCTCTTGAATGAGCTTAATAACTGGTTACAGATTTTGCCTAATTTTTATTTTCTGTCACTATTTTGTGTGGATATCCTCTTTTAAATAATAACTTTGAGTAGGAGAAATTGATGGTATAGTCCTTTCGTAGATAGGAGTGTGTATCGGTGGGATTATTATGTAGGTCAAATGTAGCTTATTTGTAATGGGGTTGAATTTCACCTATGTATCTAGAAAAGAAACTTTATATCTAGAGTATTCCACAGTGAATTTGGTTGTTCCGGGCATAGAGTTCATTTTCTTTAATGAATCCCTCTAATTCTTGCTTCACCTAACCTCCAGATCATAAATAACAATATCATTGATATATCTCACATAGAGCTCTGTTCTATCAATTGATTTTTTTGAAGAAAATTTCTCAGAAAAAAAATATAGTGGAATATGATGGGGGTGGGGGCACAGGGGATCCCATTGCTGTACATGAAATCATTGTACGTGAACACATTATTCGGTAGTAAAAGTTCTAAAAGTCTTAGCTAATATATATACCGATGCATGTATAATAATATTACCTCATTTATATGGTTAGGATTCATTTCACCATCTAACATGGAACTTAAGGCTTCAAATTTATTATCACAGACTGCCATTAGCTCTGGTAAACTATCTACAGGCGCTTTAATGTCAGGAAAACCTTTCTTTTTGGCACCACCACTTTGTGGTCTGAAACATTTCAATCAATAAATTGAGAACATAATATTGTGAATCTATTAACTTAATCAATATAATTTCAGTTATGTCTGAAATTTTCATTATTGCAATAACAATATAAAAATCCACAATAGATTGCCTTATTGCAAAATTATAATGCTTTCAGTGTTAAATTCCTCATATTACAGCCTCTCTTGTTTCTGATATAAATGAAGGGTAAAAGTAATTTGTGGGTTAACTTGTTAAATTAATCAATCCTAACACAATTTATGGCCATCTAAATTTGATATTACTTCATTGAATTTATGCAGTCATATCACAGTAATTGTATGTCAACAATTTCACACAGATCAGATTATAATTTTTGTCATTTAAGGGTTCACAAGGTTTTACAAACTGAAACAAGGGCCTTCACTCTGAAAGGACCTTACAGAAATTGTTGCGACTTTGTTTTACTAATCTAAATAATGCAGATCGGATGATAACATTTATCATTTGAGCATTCACAGGGTTGAACAAAGTAAAACAAGAGCCATAACTCTAGACGTAATTGACAGAAATTGCTGAAATGCATAAGTCATGTATATAAATTTCATACAGATCGGCTGATAACTTTTGATGTTAGAGCGTTCACGAGATGCAACAAAGTGAATCAAGGGACATAACTCTAGAAGTAATTAACGGAAATTGCTGACATTCAACAGGATTCTTCGTTTCACTAATTTAAATAATACATATAAAATTCACAAAGATCGGATGATAACAAGGGCCATAACTCTAGACGTAATACACTGAAATTGCTGAAATTCAATAGGTTTCTTCGTTTCATTAATTTAATTAATGCTAATAAATTTAATAAAGATTGGATTAGAGCGTTTACATGGTTAAACAAAGTGAAACAAGGGCCATAACTCTAAAAGTAATAAACAGAAATTGCTGAAATTCAATAGGATTCTTCGTTTCCCTAATTTAAATACTGCACATCAATTTCACAAAGATTGGATGCTAACTTTTGGATTTAGAGCGGGCAGGATTTTAACGACAATTTGACTACCATACGAACGCCAGAATTACCATTTAAGTTCTGAAACTATGCAGTTGAAAGTTATAATTAATATAAAGTCTAAATGCAATTCAAAAGGTAGGTTGCCAAGCAATGAAACATACGCCCACAACAGCTAAATCGTCTGGGCAGTCAACAAGAGTTATCAGATATTTTTACTTTTTTTGGTAATGAAACATTTATAATACACTTAAATCTGATTAAGAGTAACAACTCATTAAGTAATTATCAGAAAACAATTAGAATTTGTTTGGTTTTTATAAAGTTCTGCCCCATGCTAACGTTTAGTATAAGAAACATTTTATATCATGGATTTAGCTGTTCAAGTTATCAAAATTCATTGAAAATCAATATACTTGTTCATCTCAAGACCTTAATCTCTGTGTATCAATCTGAAGTCAATTGGATGATAACTTTAGCCTCTAGAGCGTCCACAAGAATTTTCAAAGTGATCAAGGACCATAACTCTGGCAGTAATCAATAGGTGTCTTTGTCTCATGCCCTTAAACACTGTGTATAAATTTAAAGTTAATCGGATATTAAATTTAGTCTCTAGAGCATCCACAAGATTTTTTGAAGTGATCAAGGGCCATAACTCTGGTAGTAATTAATGAAAATCGCTGAAAATGAATAGACTTCTTCATCGCATGACCTTAAACACTGTGTATCAATTTAAAGTCAATCGGATATTAACTTTAGCCTCTCGAGCGTCCACAAGATTTTTTTGAAGTGATAAGGGCCATAACTCTGGCAGTAATTATCGGAAATCACTGAAAATCGATAGGCTTCTTCTTCTCATGACCTTAAAACACTGTGTATAAATCTAAAGTCAATTGGATATTAACTTTAACCTCTAGAGCGTCCACAAGCAATTGTGGACGCAGGACCGACGGACGGAGACGGCGACAATTTACGACAACATTTCAATGTGGGTGTATAAAAATGTATATAGAGTTTTTTTTATTTCATAAAGCTAAATATCGGTAATTATTATAACTGGCCCAGTTACTGGAGATTGCAGGTGTATTTGAGTCACGTATGGTATGGCACATGTTTCACAAGGCGCTGGAGAAGGGTGCGCCTAAACCATGCACTTTTATTTTTTCCTGAAACACCGCTGCCAAACTTGCCCTGCCCATTATCTACACATGCGGCCTAATAGTAATACACCGAAAAATACGGTAACGTCCATATTTAAGCCAGAGAATGGACAGTGTGAGGGGTGTTGGTAACTTTTTGTTTAATTATTGTGGTAATACCTACCTTTAACAGTAGGTATGATAGGTGGTTATATACCTACCTAAAACAGTAGGTATGATATTTTGTTATATACCTACCTAAAACAGTAGGTATGATACGTTGTCATATGTGGTAGTTGTAATAATGATGAATCATGCCACCATCTACCTTGTACTATCATCTGTATTATTTGTATAACACGTAATGATGTTATTAGCCAACCCTGATCAGCTGATACATCTAACATAGCCTGAATATAACAAATGTATCACATTAAAGATGCATTATATACATAGAATGCTAAAATCCTTCAATATACTATTAATACTATTAACAACAGTGAGGCCGACGTCCCCCGCCGAAATCCCCAAATAAATAGATGACACATATTAATTAATCGCACATCTATTTTTTTCAACAATATCGAGCAATCAAACTGATTATCAACTATACACTAAGTTTCATCACTCTCTATCAGATAGAATCAAAGTTATCTTGTCCCAAAGCATCGGCCAAGGAAATTTCTTATCTCTGCTTAGCTTTAGCTCGATATGTTAATATTGAACTCAGTCAAGACGAACATCTACATCAAGTTTAAACATTCTACCTCAATTAGAAGCATGCAGAGTTGTTATGTTCCAAAGTCTTGACCAATCAAAATGCTTATTGCTCCTTAGCCTAAGCTGACAATTCTCATCATCGAACTCAGTCAAGGTATTGATGTAATGAAACTATACACCAAGTTTCATCACTCTTCACTTAATTAGAACTAAAGTTATCGTGTTCCAAAGCATCAACCAATCAAATTGCTTATCTCTACTTACCATAAGCAGAAAATGCTCATCTTCACACTCTATCAAGGCATTGACCTCATAAACACCTACACCAAGTTTGAACATTCTAGCTCAATTAGAAGGAGAGTTATTGTGTTCCAAAGTCTCGGCCAATCAAATTGCTTATCGCTCTGCTTACCCTGAGCAGAAAATGCTCAATATCGAACTTAGTCAAGGTATTGATGTAATGAAACTAGACACCAAGTTTCATCACTCTCACTTAATTGGAACTAAAGTTATCATGTCCCAAAGCATGAACCAATCAAATTGCTTATCTCTGCTTAGCCTATGCAGAAAATGCTCATCTTCGAACTCCATCAAGGCATTGACCTAATAAACATTTACACCAAGTTTGAACATTCTAAGTCAGTTAGAAGGAGAGTTATTGTGTCCCAAAAAGTGTGACGGACAGACAGACAGACAGACGGACGAACCCATTTTAATAGTCCCCTGCTTTCTTCGAAAGGCGGGTGACAATAAACAATGTTCTCTGAGGACTGTATTGACAGACAGTAGGCTCAACCCCGGTTTTTAATTGCAAGCAGTTGCTGATGAAAATAGTCTCCTTTTATTATCTAAATACCACAGTTTAATAAAGATAGGCCTACTGGTTTATGAAATGCACCAATCAAGCAATTTTGAGCTAAGCTTGGAGATTAAAAAGCTCTTTCCAGCTAAAAAAATCTATCAATGGTGAAACAAGTAACAAATATCGATCTATTAACCAGTTTACCTGTAATACACGTATAGCTTGATCTAAAACAGATTTAGTATCAGTATAATAATCAGTTGATGGTAATTGTAGTTGAGAGAAGTGAGCTTGTAGCAGGATGTTAGTTTTGGTATGTGATGAATCAAATGAATGAGAATTCATTTCTAGCGGGACTTTCTGAGCTAAATCACTAAAATTAAAAAAAAAAATTATTATTTTTTTTCTCTTTTATTTTACATGAAAATGTAAAGATCTTAGCATGTCCTTAATTACTTCTTCTAAAACTGTCTTAAAAGCAGAATAAACTCTGAGAAAGTCCTTTACTGAGTGAGGAAATGTCTTGAAATTATAATAAAGACTAATAACTGTACCTGTTAATCTGATCTTCATTATGACGTACTGGTAACTGGGCATATTCTGTTGCATTCTGTAATAAAGTATATGTGAATGTTTAACAGAAAATTTATCTTTTTTATTATTACTACCAGTTACATCAAATGCAACATGGCATAGTATATTTCTAGCTAAGACTTAAAAATATTGAAAATGTTAGGATGGGTTAGGTGAAGAAGTCTCAGGGGAATGTGTATGCAAAAGATCCAATGAACAGACCTAAAATCAGATAGTAAACCAATAAGAAACCCTGAACCCCCAAGATGTACTTTGAGGGAAATTCATTTGGAACAGCAATTAAATTAAATGTGGTTGAATGTTCTATTGTTCAGCACCAACCAACAGAAAGACATTTGCATCACTGCAGAAATCTGTACTGCATGTAGTAATTCAAATCGCTGATGACATGAATTTCTTGAAAATTTGTCAAATACAGCATTATTTGACATGAGAAGGAACAACCGAAGAGACAAATCATTTCTTTTCTTATTTATTCATCATAATATACAGTATATCAACTGAGCGGCTACAGTGGCTCATTGAATAAGGCGCTAACTTGGAGTTCTCAGGTTCAGTCCCAGTGTTGCAAAACGGCCTGCCTGGTAAGGTACAGTGTCTAGTCGTTTAGATCTGACCAAAAGAACAAGGTTCCGTGTACACATTGACGTGTACGTAATAAGCACCCTTTACATTTACAGTTTAAATTCAAAATCAGAGCAGGCTGTGGTGCTGCTGTATGGGAAAAATTTACCTCATGGCACACTGCATGATGCATGCTGTCTTTATTAGCCCAGTAGGTCCAGAAAAGTAGGTTGTTAAACCCCATTTCATTTCATCTAAACTTATATTATCAAATATTATATCCCTATTAAATCATCATATAAAATATTATAACTTACTTATAATATCTCTATTAAATCATCATATAAAAAATTATAACTTACTGATCACATATAAAATATTATAACTTACTGATAATATCTCTATCAAATCATCATATAAAATATTATAACTGATAATATCTCTATTAAATCATAACTTACTGATAATATCTCTATTAAATCATCATATAAAATATTATAACTTACTGAAAATATCTCTATTAAATCATCATATAAAACATTATAACTTACTGAAAATATCTCTATTAAATCATCATATAAAACATTATAACTTACTGATAATATCTCTATTAAATCTGGTATAGAAGATTCAGCCTTTAATTCATTACAGAACATACGAACCGTATTATGGTTTAAGTAATAATATGACGATATTTTCCCTAAAGTTAAAGGATCAATAGCACGGTTATCCTGAAATTAAAATCAATTAGAAAGTAATTTTAAAACAAATTTTTTTGACAACAGATGTAATTCTCAAAGATAAGTATGAATAAATTTGCTAACCAAACATAATCAGTTAAATATGATTTTTCATTCTTTTTTCTTTCGACACAGACATGTTTTTTTTTGTTTAGATGTCAGTAAACACATGTTAAAAACTACTTACGTCACCAATTTCTATACAATAAGAAGACTGTAATTCCATTAAAGCTTTTTCTACTAGACATGATAGAAACTTGTTAATACTGTCAAAATCTGTACTATCCAAATTATAATAACTGAAAATATAATATAATTTTTTGGGGGGAAATTGGTTAAGAACAAGAGAAAGTATAAGTAATATCATGGACAACAGATTATTATAGAAAATATCATTTTTATTGGTAGTGATACTAAGCATAATAACAGATTAAAGTTGGACTGATGTACTATAATGAGACTTTAATTTAAAGAACTAAACCACTCAATATCATCCATAATATTTGAAACCAGCGGTTGCCAGGCAAGATATGCCCACATTTTTCAAGAGATGGATAGAAAACAAGCCAACAGTGAGGCTGATGTCCCCTGCCGAAATTCAAAAATAAATAAATGACACATTTTAATTTATCGCACATTTATTTTTTTCAAAAATATCAAGCAATCAAACTGATTATTAACTATACACTAAGTTTCATCACTCTCATCACATGGGAAAAACCTTGTCAGCGATTTTCAAAACATATGTATGTTGCCGCCCAGTCTTCAACTTTTGGGCTCCGTAGGCGACACAGTTTGGCCAGTGCGCGACGGCTGCGCCGCCCAGTCACCATGTTAAACGAGGCTCTGAGTTACGGTCCGATATGCGCAAATATGGAAAGGAACCAAGATCTTTGGATTATAATCATACATTTCAAGTTTCATCAAAATCGGATAAAAATTGTGACTTCTAGAGTGGCCACAACCTTGGTATTACATACTTTTAGATTATTTGTGTACAAGGAACTGCCATTTTGTCTGTCAGTTTGGGGTCAGATTTTAACGAAATTTGAACTCAAACTTAATTGAAGTGTAAAAGTGATATATTTAAACATGTTTTAAAATTAATTACAAATTGTGACTTCTAGTGGGCCCATGAACTAAAAATGCGATTTTTTGAACAATCAGGGGCCATAATCCAGGAATAACGAAAGAAAACAAGATCTTTGTGATATAAACATAAATTTAAAGTTTTGTCAATATCGGATCAAAATTGTGGCCTCTAAAGGGTTCACAAAGTTGATATACTATATATTTACACTAATTGCGTACAAGGGGCGGTCCTTTTGTCCAGCAGTTTTGTCTGATTTTTCGAACTCAACCTTCATTAGGGCGTTACAATGATATATACAAACTGTTTTTGAATCGGATAAAAATTGTGACCTCTAGAGGGACCACAAGCTAAAAACGTGATTTTGTGCCCAATCAAGGGCCATAATTCTGGAAGATATGATCTGATATGCATAAATATCAAATGGAACCAAGATCTTTGGGTTATAAACATGCATTTCAAGTTTCATCAAAATCGGAGAAAATTTGTGCCTCTAGAGGGTTCACAACCTTGATATACCATATTTTTACACCATTTGCGTACGAGGGGCGGACATTTTGTCCGGCTGTTTTGATCCGATTTTCATGAAATTCGAACACAACCATCATTATGGTGTAACGGTGATACATTCGAACAGTTTTGTAAATTGGATAAAAATTGTGACCTCTACAGTGTTCGTACAATCAGGGGCCATAATTCAGGAAGTTACGATCTGATATGCGCAAATATCGAAAGGAAACCAGATCTTTGGGTTATAAACTTGCATTTCAAATTTCATTAAAATCAGATGAAAATTGTAACCTCTCGAGGGTCCACAACCTTGATATACCATATGTTTACACTATTTGCGTACAAGGGGCGGCCATTTTGTCCAGCAGTTTTGGTGCGACGAAATTCAATTCAACCAACATTACGGTGTAACGGTGATATATTCGAACATTTTTTTAAATCAGAGAAAAATTGTGACCTCTAGACAGGGGTGACGACATAATACGTCCACATGAAATACGTCCACATGAAAATGTTGGCGTATAAAAACATAAATTAGAATGCAATATTGGTCCATTTCAATCAATATTGTGTTATTATAAGACACAATAAACATTATGAATCAGTAAATATCGTTTACTCTGTGGACATAATGGTTTTGAGCTCCATTTGTAATGAACAAAGAAAAACATATCCCATAAGTCAATGTGGATATAAACAAACGATAAAATAAATTTTTTTAAAACTTGTGTAGTACAAATTAAGCAGGTGCAAACAACTGTAGTTAAATTTGGACTGTTCGCATATGTCACTGAACATAATTGATTTTTTTGTTGTTACAATTTATGTAAATCATTTTATATACACTCATATTGCTTTTATACCCATTTTTCATATATTTTAAGGCTACAAAAAATTGAGTTATGCACCCTATAAGGCAGTTTCATGGCAGGTTTCAACATAATGTGTGGCATCAAGGTTGCTCTCAACAGTTATATTGACTGTCAGCAGTATATGCCGGTCGGAACCGAGGGCTATGGAAAATGACCGTTACTAGATCTGACTCATCAAACATTTTGCACGCCGAAAAAAATAGTCTTTTTTTCAAAACCCAATTTGAAAACATGGCTACGATCGACCTCCACTATGTACCGTAATTATAAAATTGTACGGCCATTACAGAATAATGCACATATAAGCCACATAATCTCATGATTGGTGTTCTAGAGTTGTATACATAGTCCTCAACAGAATAGACTGAGTGTTGTGTTGATAATTAATGATGAGTGTCTGGTAGCAGAACAATAAAAGTTAACTGATATGTGGGAATCTTATCAACCTTCACATTAAATAAAAACAGCATATAAATTATCCAAAATCCTCAAAAACGTAGGTGTTAGGAGAAAAATGCATTATAATTTTTTTTATTGCGGTATTATGGCCTCATGGGAATTGTAGAAATTTAATCTAGAGATTAGTTAACTTGCTTACCGAAAAACTAAGAAAATTACGTATTCCAGTGCTATTATTATGTAGCAATATTGATAATTCCACGTTTTGCAAAAATGTTGTGTTTATAGGGTTACTCTTATTATACACGTTGATAAATGTAAGAAATATGCCGTAGATAATTATATATTTATCTTTATTTCGAACTTAATGTATTACAACTCAAAATTATCCATGTCAGTGTGTTTTCTATAGAGCACGTTGTAATATACGTGTGAGCTAATGGAATGGTTTTTCTATGGTCAATTCAGCTATTTTGATTATTTAAGTAGCCCCAAGGGAATGTTTCATTAATAAATAATTATCATAAGCCTTACTAATATTTCATATTGAAATCCATGCTGACAAAGTGGTATAGACACAGGAATTCACAATACCCTACCATGAATTAAAAGCATGAAATATGAATTTTTTTTGCAAAGTTTTCGTGTGTTATCAAAAATGACTGACAGTGAAAATTTTGAAGTAGAAACCCTGCCTGGAACACAGTAACCCTGTTGTTATTAAATTGTATCAGTGGAACGCAACAACAATGTCATAGTGAAACCCTATTGTCATTGTACATGTACTTGAGTATTATGTATTTTATGATTTACAAAAAAAGTAAATTTTCTTGCTATACATGACACTTGACAAGATTTGATGTTAACAAATGGGTGTAATTATTTACAAACGTGACAAGAAGGTCATGTTAATTCAATTTTATAAAATTATGAGCTGGCTGTGATGGGTTGAATATACAACATCCTTCCTGAATAACTAAATATATCTCTTGCAATCCTACAATTAACTTCCTTCTTTAATAAACTAACAGCATTATACTCGCTGAATACGAGATAATACCATTGTTGAAAAGAATTCAGAAATGTTATTATCAAAAATAATTAAGTTTTTGTCATCCATCATTCTTTGGGTAGATAAAGGTAAGCAAATTTTTTATTGTGTATGGTCTGAAAGTTTATATCTATCATAGTATCTGGAAAATTGAGCTTTTAAACACTAAACCTTTTTTTTCTCTTTAGATGTTCCAACCAACACAACACATATAATGATGTGCAGTAATGACAACAAAACAGCAAATACAATTTACTTGTATCATGCCATTGATAAATCCGAAGAAAATCTTAAATTTCTTAAGAACAGGTGTTCCTGTTCTATATCCTCTGATCAACCATTTACTATTCATATTAAACGGCATATCACACTCAGAAGTAATAGGGGACAAGTACTAAACAAGTTGACTTTAAAGAATGGAAATCAGACACACATTTTTGATTTAGATCATGGTATTAATCCATTTGGAACAGACTGTCTTTATGGTAGTAAGGATGACTGTCACATGTTTAATAGTACCAATAATAGTTTGATAATAGATTTAGAAGAATCAGCCAGTTTTAGAGAATTTATTTTTAAAATATATGGTAAGTTGACATGTTTTCTGTAACTAATATTAAAATTGATAAATATACATTCTAAAGTTTAAGTTACTGTATTAAAAATTAATTATTTGTGACTTAAAAATTATTGCAAATCCGTCCGTAATGTCCGTTTTCAAATTTGGAATGAGGTTTAACATCCAATCAGCACAATACTTAAGTCATCTGTGACATGTACAATTTTTCTTGGACCGCAGCATTTTAGATTACTTCATCTAATTCCAGTCAATGGATCTTTTGCAAATGTGTACACACCAGGATTCAAATCCAGGTCAATCTATACCTAGCTAGACAAAAATTATGGATTTTCATCAATTAAAATATTTGTCTTTGATTAGGAACTGAAGAAATTCAAATAGAATGTAATATGACTGCAAAAAACAAATCTGTAAGCCAATCAAAAACTCAAAATAAGAAGAAAAGTCAAACTGAAGACCAATCACAAGATGAACCAAACAGAGAAGCATTACCAAGTAATTAATATATTAATTAAGCTTTCATACATATTACATATGAAAGCTTATTGTTTCTGTTAAGATTATTTTTATTTTTCGTTCTTTTCCTGCAAATCTTATATCCTAGAATCTAACCATAGGATCTTTTTTAGTACCTTAAAACATTTACTTTAAATCTGCTATTTCCGATTTTCGTAATTGGAATATTACGTCATTGACAGCTCATCCCGGAAGTAAAACCAACATGATAACTTCTTGAATATTAGTACGTAGACCTGGTTGATCCAACTTCAAAGAAGTAATCAGAAATTTTCTAAGTTATCTCCCCTTTGAGAAAATAAGGATCAAATTTTTTAATAAAATCGACAAAATATAGGTCCGATTGCCCTGGACATTTTTTTCTATACTAGAAAAAAAATTACTGATGCGTACACAAAATATGAAGTCTATCGATTGAACCGAAAGTGCCACCATCTTGAAACGTGAAAAATCCCTGAGGCTTTTGCGATATTATACTTACAGACATGGGAGTTACATTTTCTGAATCCTTGAAGGAATGCCTAAAAAACATTCAGAACAGAATTTTGATTTCAGTCAACTGATGATCTCCATTTGGAAATGAATATGAAGAACAGTGAAAAATCCACTTGAACAGACGTGAAAATAAACACAATAGGCCGTAATATTAGTTCCGTTCAAAGTTATTTCATTTATTTTTTCGATATTTTCCTGCCTTTTTTTTAGTTCTTTCCTGTCATTTTCATTTCATTTTCTCATCCGTCTCGTTTTTAAATAGCTTGATCCATTTTTCTGAAACTTCTGTAACGGGAAGTCATTCCGATTACAGCAATCCATGTTTCAGTTATTTCCCTTTACCTTTCAGATTATTTTTTGCCCGGGTGCAATGTTTCTCACTATGTTTAGACTTGTAACTTCGCGAGTTTTTCACCGATTTTGATAATTATTTTTTTCTTTTAAGATACTTGATATAATCCATGTCCACGTGACGATGAATATGAAAGCTTCCATATCTGCATGGGACAATAGCAGATCTAGACTTTATTGTTTTTATCTTAAATTATATAGTTGTAGAGGTTTATCACAATGAGTGATTTGACAGCCTTTTTTTTTACAATATTCTATTGTGAACACACAATATTTCATGAATTTTAAAGTACAAAGGGGGATAACTTCAACTATCAAAATATTCTGAATATCGATAGGGTTCATTCTTATGCCCTTATGAACAAGCTTAAACAGTCAAAATTTGATTAAAATACAACTCAGCAAAACACATTCAAAATAAAGATCCAAAACAGTGGGAATTTAATAGGGTTCTTTTTAAAGAAACAATAAGCCATCTCACCAAGTTTCTAAAAATTCATTTAAGAAGTCTGTCGTGTTATCATGTTAAAATTTTCTAAATTCTGAAAATAAACTACTCAATTTCTGCCACTCCATACAACGTAACAATATTACAAGATTCACATGGCTCATAAATGTGCACGAATAATTTACTTCTCAGGCGTTACAAATATATTAACCTATTGATAGCTTTTACTCCATGATAGATGACTGAAAAGAAGTGCCTCTTCCTACCCTAGTTTCTCCTATATGTGCAAATATTTCTCGCCCTGTATTTCAGAAGTAGAGCACCCATAGCACACTTTTGCAGAATCATTTATTAATACAAGTCACATTAGAAGAAAGATTTATGATATAATTATGAACATTTGAATATCATGCATCCACTGCATTATTTTTTTTATGTGCCTTCTATTTGTTTATATTTCAAATGTACTCCACTTGAAAAAAAACCCAAAAAACTCCAAACATTGACAAATAATTTAAAACAAGAGTTATCTGCCTTGTGTCAGAAATAATAAATTTGATAATTAATCACTGTTTTATATTTCAGTATTATATATTGGTATTATATTAATATTAATTGCCATCATAACCGGAGTAGTGTTTGCTTGTGCTTGGATCACCAATCCAAATTTGAGGTAAATATAGATTTAGCTTGGAGAGAGAGAGAGAGAAATGGGGTTTAACATCCACTTGACACAAACTAGGTCATTTCGGGACTAACATATGGTTCAATTTTATTTCTATAATTCGCTTGGGCGTATAGGGGTCTTTAGCAGTGGGAGGAAACCGGAGGACCCGGAGAAAACCCACGAGGTTGGACAGGCGACCCTACTCCTTGTCACGTACAACAGGGGATTCGAAACCATGCCAGTTGACTCAATGACAGACTTAATGATACAGCGCGCACGTGCTAACCACTAAGCCATCCCCCCCCACCCCCACCCCCACCCCCACCCCCGCGATTTAGCTTGGATTTGTTGACCATCAAAATTACTAGGACTAAATTTATTGTAGTCAAGCAAGATTAAATATCATGTAGGGAAGATTTTTCACCTACATATTTTAGTACCATTTACCATTGACACTGTAATAAATAAGATGATCATACAAATTCTTCCATTAAATACATCTACAGTCTTCATTTTCAGACATAGTATAAAACGAAGAAAATCTAAAAAGAATATGTTTCCAGAAGAAAAGGTTATAAATGAAGAAATGTCTAATGCAGGTATATCAATGTTAATACAAATCAGGATATGTATTTCAAAACATTTCATACAGTTGATATGATTGTAAAATCCATCTAATCTATATTCTGATTTAGTTGAATGGTTATAGCAATGGATTCTCAACTGGTATGTCCCGAAATCAAATTCTGGCATAGGCTGATAAGAATCTCAGGGGTTTTCAAGCCTGGTTCCCATCTTTCAGGAGTAGCACCGGTGGGGCTGACAAGTAAAGTGTTGGATGGGATGATAAAAGGAGATCCATCCTTGTATAACATAACCCTTGACACAGTTGGTATTTAATGAAGAGTAGATATAAATTTTCATCCCTTCTATTGCATATGTAACAATCAAAATAGAAAAGATGAACTTAAGTTAGTCTCTGAATGTCTGATGTATTGTGTAACTCCATTTTTTTTCTATTCCTCTTTTATGTATAAAAAAAGCAACTTAACAGTCCTCAATGACATACATTAAGCAATATTGGAGGTAACATATAATACAATAATAACTGGTCTAAACAGTAAAACAATGCCCAGTTAAAGTACTACATGATTTATCTTCTTTTTTTTTCCTATACAGTTGTTTCAGTTGCCAGTTAAAGTACTAAATAATTTATCATACTTTTTTATATTCTATAGGGTCACCCGATGAGGATGAGGATGACAAGTATGAATTTTGTGAAATTGAAGAAAATCCCAATCATGGCCAAAAGTCTGACATACAACCTCCCAAAATTCCTAGTACACCTTTTCCAACTAAACAACTTCCATTCTTCAAGCACGATAAACCAACTCCCCACAGTGTCGTAGAAATAAAAGATGAATATTGCCACGTTAATTCAAATGCTACAAATGCAACTATGGATTCAACTCAGACGAGAGATAACATACAATCAGATGTCACCACAGCTGAAGAAGATCCATCATATGATCATATAGAAAGTCATGTTCTCAAAAACCTTATTAATACAGATGACGAAACCCCGACCTGGTCAGACAATAATCGAAGTTCCATTATGAAAAATGTGAATGAAGTTGAAGCTGGTTTACAAATGGACAAATTTCAGTCATCTGAAACCCTAGACTCTGTAACAGCACATCATAATGACTCTGGATCTATGCCACATTACTACTCTGTTGAAGAAGATAAAGAGAACACGAGAGACAATTATCAATATGACAAAAATGCTAGAAGAGAAACCAAATCAGCATATGATCTAGCAGATCACGTACCTAGAGCCGCAGCTCCCATTGTCAACAGGAGCAGGAGTGAAGAGACCAGTCTTAGAATGGATAAAACTATGGACTATAAAGATGTAGTGAAAGAATTTAAGTCTTTGCTAAAACATGATTATGAAGAAGTGAGTCTTGATGAAACTGGATGTAATACTGATACTAGATATGGAGATATGATCATATTAGAAAATGAACTTTATCAGTCTCTAGATAGCTATGATGCTAATCCTACGGGGTTGATAAACAATACACCAATAACACATCTCTAAACTAATTGTTTTTAATTTTTAGCATGCATTTTAAGTAAATTATCAGAACATTGTTTTATACTAATTGTCTATAAAGTTTTTAATATATATCATATGCAACTATATAATGTAGTTTAAATTAAAGAATTAGGAATGAAGTATCTATAGGTGTGCCTACCGACAGATTGGCAACAAAGATGTAGAACATGTTTTATATTAATTGTACATAAAGTTTTTATTATTAATCCTATGTAATTAATTATAAGTTTAAATTAAAGATTTTGGAATGAATTACCTTATATAGCAACAAAGATGTTAAACATTTTTATATTAATTGTACAGGTTGTTCTGCCTGCTCGTACGCCTATGCTAGCAAACTCTGTTTGATATTTACAAAGACATGACATGATGAATTGAACATTTGTGTCCAATTGAATCCAAGCGGGGAGATTTTGTCAGACAAATGCAAATGACGATTAGCAACTTTAAAGAAATTCCATGTGTACATTGAACATTTTCTTGTACAATAAATTGTTATAGCATGATTTTAAGTCAAATGAAATGAAATGAAATGGGGTTTAATGTCCTACTGTTCTGCTCCTAACCTGGGCTAATGAAGACGGGCATACACCATACAGTGTGCTATGAGGGAAATTTTGCCCGTGCAGCAGCGCTACGGCCTACTCTTATATCGAATTACAACTGGCAAGGGATCTTTTATGTGCATTCCGATGTATACACGGGACCTCAGTTTTTCGTATCATCCGAAGGACAAGACAGCTGTCCTTGTCAGGCCCTCCGTTCTGCACCACTGACAAGGGGAAACCATGTATTTTAAGTCAAAGGAAAACCAGTCACATGGTTAGCAAGCATTCCATCCAGTCATGGTATTATTTCAGTTACAAATAACCATAAATTTACAGAACTTATCTGCTTGTAGGTTTGTTAAAAGATGAGACAGTTTTACTCAAACCACATAAAAACTGACTATAAAACTGTAATTCTATACTCTATACACAAACTTACATTTTACTCCACTTAAAGCTACATACCAAAAATACTTGGTTAAAATAACTTGGTGGTAAATATAACCCAAAATCATATCCTCCTGGTTCTGTATTGTAAATTTGATTTTTATGGTGAAATGGGTTTAACTTCATACTTTTCTGCACCTACCTTGCTAATGAAGACGGACAAAAGTGCCATATAGTGTGCTATGAGGAAAATTTTGCTCGGACAGTAATTGTAATCCAACTGTCTTTACATCCATGCCAACATGTACACTTGACCTCGATATTTTGTACTATCCGAATGACTAGATGCTGTTCTTTGCCAGGCCCTCTGTCCTGCAACCTGGGAAATGAAATGAAATGAAATGGGGTTTAACGTCCTATTGTTCTGCTCCTAACCTGGGCTAATGAAGACGGGCATACGCCATACAGTGTGCTATCAGGGAAATTTTTCCAGGGCAGCGGCGCTACGGCATACTCTTATATCGAATTCCAACTGCCAAGGGATCTTTTACGTGCATGCCAATGTGTACACGGGACCTCGGTTTTTCGTCCCATCCGAACGACTAGACAGCTGTCCTTGTCAGGCCCTCCATCCTGCATCACTGACAAGGGGAAACCACGCCGGAAAATCTGAATGAACTTTCTCGGTCAATGCAGGGATCAAACACCCGACCTCCAGTCTAGCGAGCCAGCGTCTTAACCTGCATCTTGGGAAACCATGCCAAAAAAACCTGTGGACCTTTCTCAGTCAACTCCGGGATCAAAACCAGGACCTCCAGGTTGTGAGCCAGCACCACTACGGCTCTAAGAGGCCATGGTACTTGTTTGGTTTGGACATTCGACTCAACACTAGATTATCCTGAGAAGAACGTGTGGAATTTTCAACTGACACAAAGTCTAATGCTCAAGGTGCAAACAAAGACAGTTTATCTTGTTTAGCTAAGAAAAACGACTGTTCACATAAGACTGCATGGTATGCAATTAATAAGCAAAATTACTGTAAATAAAATTTTACAGGGTTTCTTGATAAACTGATGAAGAAAATCAGTAGGTCTTATTTTTATTTTCCATCAAAATTTTAATTTTCTGAGACAACATTTATACTAAATATTGTACAGCTGGAAGAAAAGGAAATGGATCCTTCAATAGTCTCGACAACACATGTACAGTACTTGGGTTGTTTACAGTATCTTTGCCTTGTTTGTGTGTTTGTCATCTGAGTTTGTTCTTGTATGTGGTGCAGTTCTCCTGCATGTACTGTACTATTTTTCTCGGCCATCACCAGGATCCATCATACTCACATTGCCACATGTTAATCCCCAAATTACCTGGTTTGTGTTGAAGGGAAATTGGATAATAGAATAGCTTAAACATTTCCTTTCAATGATAGGTGCACAGCTAAATACACAGAATTGACATTCCTAAAATAACATGCAAAGGTGCAAATTTATGTTATATCTTGCAAGACAAAACTTGTATGTCTTGCCAATTATGGTTTCCATGGATTTGTTGAAGATCAGATTGAAAAACTTGCAAGATAGGTCTATGGTCAGAAAATCTAACACATGAAAAGTAATCGATATCATTCCATCATAGCTCTAGAGAATTCATCAGTATGTAAACAATCTACATCACTACAGTCATTCTCTAATTTCATAACAACCAAACAAAACAGCTCTAAATGTCTGGTAAACCTATTAAATAGATACACTGGATGCATATACATTACTTTTTATGCTGTTTCTAAATTTAATTATTTATTTTTTTATTCCACTTTTGCAGTTCACTACTTTTCTTACTATATTTCTTTCTATGTAAAAATTTAATCATAAAAGATGATGCTTTTTAAGATGTATCATCTGAGATCAGATACATCCAAGATGGAAATGAATTAGATCAACATTTAGGAAGAAATAGTAACTTGGTTATCATATTTAAGTTAAGTAGATGTACATCAATGTTTACTCTTTAAGAATTATTGATAAAAGTACTGATATGAATACAGCAAACTTTTCATCTCGGTTATTATAGGTAGAATTGAATTAGGTCTTTCGTGACGCAATATACATGAAACACTTTCACAACAAACATGCACTTGGCACTAAATCAACTTGGCAGACGCCAGCATCAGCTGATTCCAGGGTGCTCAGATAACATTTCTACCTTTGCAGAAAAAAGAACAGGAATTTACGCAAGATCTTAGCATTTCTACGTGATTATATGTACATGCAAATTACAATACACACGTGCATGTTACATGAACATCGCTGTAAGCTTTGCAGAAATTGTAAAAACTGGAAGGAAAAATACTTTTTCTGTTTATTCAGAACTTGCAGAAGTCGCTGTGTAATATACAAATCCATAAGTAAAATAAGACATACACAATATTCCTCTAAAAAGATAAAACAAAGAAGTCAAATGGGCTTTAAGGATAATGCAGCAATGTATTTCTAAGTACTGTATAGAAAATCATATGCATCTAAAACAAGTGGATAAAATCTGTTAAAAATCTCAAAAAGTCAGTCTAGAATTTGCCATGTTTATTCTCAAGAAATATAAGTTTATTGGTATCCTTTTTACCTATGAACTGCATTCATTTCCAACACTCTCAATCCTGTATAGCAGTTTGGGCAATCATATCTTTAAAGGTAAATTTAGCAATCTTATTTGGCCTAAATCTCAACCTCCTCCTTCTGTCCACTGCCATTGACCTTGGTAATAGGCTTTATTTATTTATTGCCTTGGAGAAGTATTCAGAGGTGGGAACAATTTGCGGGACCTTGAGTCCCAAGTCGCAGCTTCTTGAGTCCAAGATAAGTCCCAAGTGGCCGACTTTAGTACTGAGTCGAGTCCCAATTTTTCACAAGGCCCAAGTCCTGTTCAAGTCGCCAGTTCATTAAATGAGTCAGCAGTTACAGTTCAAGTTAAGTCTAAACAAATATTTCAATTCGAGTTGCTAAGTCGGGTCTTTTATGCTACTTAAGTCAGAATCGATTTGATTCGAGTTCCCACCTCTGAAAGTACTATAAAGAGATTGTGAAGAAACCACCATCGATAATCTTGATAATATATACCAATATGATACTTATAAATTACTAAGGGTAAATGGCAGCGGACCAGAATGGGAAGGCCATGATAATTTTCATGTTCTCTAGTCCAAGAATTTTTTTTGTAAAAATAGGATTTGCTTGTACAAATGAAGTTAAAAATTTATAATGTTCTCCTTGCTCATTAATTTGCTCAGTTCGTTTCTTCCATCAATTATATCTGCCATATGTAGCAAGCAAACTAAATTGACACTAATTTTAGGCAAAAATCCAATAAATAACTAATGACGAAATAATTATTGACAGCTTCCAATTGTAACCTCAATCTTAGGTAGTACATATTCTGATTTCACCTTCCTTCAAACAGTACTTCCTGTGCTGATTTGTAGCCAACAGCACCGTACGACCTACAATACTGCCCATAAGAAAACTCATAAAGAAACCTATCTTAATAAATAAAAACTTAACAATAAAGCATCAGATTAAACAGAAACAGGCGGACATAATACAAATTATTATGAATATGATTTAATCTATATAAGTTTTCTTTATTAATATAGGAAATGAAACGAAATGGGGTTTAATGTCCTACTTTTCTGCTTCAATAAAGACAGCATTAATATAGGTTTTCAGAAACGTTAAGTTACAAAAGAAAGAACCCTCCTACACATCTTCGTTTGTCATTCACTTTACTAGGCTAAAGTATTAATGGTCAAAGTTCATTTCTGCATCTCCAGTAAGAATGAAATTGGGTTTATAGTCTTACTTTTCTGCACCATCCGGTTTATAAAGACGTCCCCAGGTAAAAAGCAATAACGACCGACAAATGAATGACAAACAATATCATATTCCAACCCCAACCTACAACAAATTCCCTTCCCGTTTAGTTACAGAAATTCTGGTACCTTAGAAAGAAAGTTACAATACCATTATGACCTGGCAAACTTTTAATCTGTGATGACATTTTGGCAGGCTATCTCAATGGCACTTGCCTAAATTTCTTGGGGCAAGGTAAAAGAAATTACAGAAAAGTTGGCAAGACTCTGAAAAAAGTTCCACCATGATGTTTTGTTTTTTGAATTAAATTAGATTAAAAGCAGAATAAATATGTCTTGGTTTACTATGCTCACATTCATCTATCTTGCAAGTCCAGGCCATATTGCTTTTCATGCCATTATTTTAGATACACTCTTTTGATTCATACTCAGAAAGTACTGGCAATAATGTACCTGCAGATCA